TTGTCTTCTTCGTCCGTCGCGGGCGGTGATCGGTTCGGAGGGGGAGGCGGTGCGCTATTGTTGGCTGTCGTCACGGCATCCATAATTTCGTCTTCCTCTTCACTGTCCGAGCGTTCAAACGGCGATCGATAGTGAATAGAATTTGGGTTTCCCAATGATCCCCGATCGGACGTTTTGATGAGTCCATCGAGGTCTAACGCATTGGCATCTCGCAATTGCCCATTGACCGTACAGACTCCTCGATCAACAATGGCACATCCGAGTGCTCTTGAAATGGATGCAGCAATATGTGGCAAGAGTACCTCCGAAGCGTACGTCGCCACACATCCTCCTCCGTGTCCATCAATGACGGACCACAGACTGAGACGAATGAGCGTACTGTAGTCCGGTTCGAGCGGTGGTAATTGTGTTTCGGAATCAAAGTTGGGTGGCAATGGTTGTAGCAATACATTGACGAGCGAAGAGCTTCGATCTTCCGAAGGGCAATTTGCCGCGTGTGTGGATGTCCACATGCAATTTTCTGGGTTTGAGAATTTGGGGAGTGACATGGGTCGATGAACATCGCTGTGTTGCGATGCCACAGTGGGTCCCTCTGTAGCGGGTTGCGCTGCTGGAATTTTGATGGCGCTTAAAACAGGAGGCGATGGTTGCGAAGCAGAATTTCCTTCTCCTCTGACACTGTTAGCAGCGGCCACGCCTGGATTGGAAGTTGGCGTGCTGCTGTGGTCTTGACTCATACTAGTGGTACTGCGATCGACAACTTTCAATCGTACATCCTTGGTGGTCGAAGAGGAGGATGTGCTCGTAATAAAGGTAGTAGATTTTTTCTTTTTCTTTTTGGCGGGACGTCTTCCAGTAGTGGAAGTGGAGCAGATTGTTGACGAGTCCGTTCTGGCCGGCACGACGGCCACCTTGCTTGGAAGTGGATTGTGGTTGTTTTCGATTTCTTCAATGTTTCTTGCCGTGGTCTCGATACTGGAGCAGGATCCCTCACATTCACTCAATTCCGCAACCGAAACTTCTTCGCTGACATCTTCGAATTCTGCCACACTCTCCTCCTGCAACAAGTAAAATAACATATAGACAGAGCAAGACAAATGGATGAGAACAAACATGCATCATTCGAGATCGTCAGCTCATCAATCGATTGATTTTTGAAAATTTCGTGACAAACAAACAAACAAACTTACCTCTGATGATGCCAGTGCTCCCCTGCTGGGCGAAGAAGGGAGCGATAGAGAAGGCAAAGAGCCTGGAGTAGTACTATTGTTGGCTGCTAGATGTCTCCGATGCAACGGCACCACAGGAGCCGCCGCTTCTTCCATGATGGTATTTGGAGAAGGAGCCGTACAGGTGGTTTGATCGCTTTCACAGCCCAAGCTTGCTTCACGGCGATGATGAAGAGGCAGCACAGGTGGAGCACTACTAGATTCACCGCCGCCGCTCACACGGCGGTTGTCGTTGGTTTCACTGCCGCTGCTGTTGTTGGTGGTGGTGTGAGTAGTAGTGGTTGTTGTTGTTGTAGTCACGCGTCGTCGAGCGACCGCCGGAACATTGATCGAGTCTCCCGCCAATGTGGATTCACTCGTATCGCCTCCATCGGTGCTGCGTTGTTCACTGCCTGTGGTTCTAGCGGGAGGCCGCGGTGGAGGAGGAGCAGCCCTCTCCATGGTCTTCTGGTTGCTGCTGCTGCGCTGTCTCGTCTCTTACTCCGGAGTAGACTACTAGTACACAAGATGAGAACTCGAGCAGAGTGGTCGACTGTTCCTTGCTGCGTTGTGCTGTCACCGGTGTATAGTTGTAGCGGTACCTCTTATTGCTCTCTTGGGATCGTTGGAGTTCGTCAATGGTGATGGTTGCTTGCTACATGTATGCATTCTTGTCCACGCAACGCTGATGTTTGGTGAAGGCACACGAAGCAAGGCCTGGCTGACGCAATTCTGGGTGTGGAGGAGGTTTCAATTGATTTGGGTAAAGAAGGCGATCAATCCCATCAAACAATTCACAAGCCTCTATTGTTGCCGTCAATGCGGCCATCCGGCAATACAAATGTCAGTCCGAACGTCCAAACAATCAAAATGAGACAATGAACCCGGAGGAGGTGATGCTGACGTGAGGGTCTAATGTCGCAGTTCTTCAGTGGTACCGGTACGGTATAGAGCCATTGTGCTACCTTTTTTGCCTCGATGAAATCTTCACACAACCTCCCACACAACCATCCATTTCCGGAAAATCTTTTTTTTGTCTCCCTCTTTGGAAACTTTGGGCTTTGGCATCGTATTATTTTGGCTTGCAAAAGATATTCCTTTGCTATTTCCTTTCATCATCATCATGGAATCCCCTCCCACCAAAACGGAGGAAGGGCGACCTGCTTTGTCGTCTGATGGTGCCATCAGTAACAAGGACAAGGACAACAAGAAAGATCAGAAGAAACGTTTCAAGAAACTGCGCAAAAGAGCCGAGCGGTTCTGCCTGACAAGCGATGTGAGTGGAATCGTGCAGTCCCATGAATGGGAGGAAGTCAAGCAGCAACACCTCGAAGAAGAAGAATCAAAGAGTGATGACTCGCTAGTCTTTGCTCCATGGATTGGCATTCGGCAATCGAGAAAACATTTGCAGGAAAAGGACAAGGTCCGTGATGGAGTCGACCATCGGCTTGCGTTAAAGTACTTGGTATCTCGACAATCTACTACTAATACTACTACTGGTACAAGTACAAGTAAGAACGGCAACAATCCCGCCAAGCGAACCAGGGACGAATCCAACAGCAACGGCATCAATGCAACTGTTCCAGCTTGGATGACGATGCACAATCCCGCTTGTGCCGACCACATTGCTGTTCTAGAAATTCATCTACAAAACAACACCGTAGCATCATTCGTCAGTGCTGATGTAGAAGCAATCATGAAGAAACTGGCCATTGGAACTTCACTCACAGAGGCAGCACAACCGATTCCAACTCGGTGGTTTGAAGGCCCTCGCTTGCAATCCATTTCCGAGGTGCTGTTGTATGAAAAGCCACAGCAGCAAAACTCCAAAAAGAAGAGCAAAAAACAAAATGGCAACACAACAATGTCAACAGTGGAGTTGCTAGAGTCGTTACAGAGTTTGACACTCACAGAAGAACAGCTCCAAAACGAGGGGTATCCATTGCCAGAATCATTATCCACCAGCGATGAAACGAGCAAATCGGAGCAGGTTGCTTCATCGACACAGGACACCGTCCCGCCAAAAGAATTTCCAAACCCAACGTCATTTTCCCTGGAGGAAGCAAACGCGATTGTCACTCCATGCCACGTGAACGTTCCCAATCGCAAGGTTCCCTTTGTAATGACCAAAAAGTTGGCATCCACCGATAGCGGTAGCTGTCCACGAGTTTTCGGGTTGGATTGTGAAATGGTCAAGACAAAGATTGGTACAGAATTGGCTCGTGTGACCTTGATTGAATACACAACAACAACAGCAGTATCACCACCACCAACCGATGAAGCAACGAACGAATTCAAAGACAACTATCAAGTGTTACTTGACGAACTGGTGTTGCCATATTCCCCCATTTTTGACTACGTCACAGAGTATTCGGGCATTTCAGCGAAAATGATGCAGAACGTGACAACTCGCCTGGAACAAATTCAGGCAAGTCTTTTGAGCTACATTTCTCCTCGAGACATTTTAGTTGGACATTCACTGGAAAACGATCTTGTGGCTACACGGTGGATCCATTGCACGGTCATTGATACAGCCATTCTGTTTCGAACCAAAGCTTCGTTCAAACATTCACTGAAACATCTCAGTATCAATCTACTCAAAAAGAAGATCCAACAGGACTTTGGCAACGGTCATTGCAGTGAAGAAGATGCTGCTGCCACTTTGGAACTAGCAATTCGGCGTGCTAAAGAAGGACCCAGCTTTGCACTCCAGTCCAAAGAAAAGATTTGGTGGATTCCCACCAGAAAGCACAATGAAAATGCCACTGTGTGCATTTGCCCGTCTCAATGGCTTCAGGAGCATGTGGTCAATCATCCCAATGCCATACATGCGTTGACGTGTGATGACATGGACTCGCCCAACCTGAAAGCTGTGATTTCTTGGCTTACGGGACCCAGGCGTCGTGCGGGCTTGCTTTGGGCCAACTTGAGTGTTTCCAAAGCATCACATGTAAAGATTCTGGAGAATATGATGGTGAGTGACATAACCGCTGCCTACTAGTACCGTATTGTGCGGATACCTTGAGAAATCTTCTCACTGACTCTTTGTTTTGCTTCCAACGCTATCTCTGAACACAGCTGGACCTCAAAGCAAAGATGTCCGCGAACACAGTCTTGATGGTGAATGTCCAAAGCGGCCACGAACCCACATTGGAAACGTCAAAGCGGCGGCGTCTTTGCCAAAGCCCCCGAACAGCTTCCGTTTGGTCGGATGGGGACGAAGAAGCATTCAAAGCTTCTGTGGATGGCTGCCGGACAGGGCAGGTGTGGTGGGTGACAAAGCATCCGCCGATGGAGCTAGATTCCAAAACTAACTAGCTGAACTAATATTTGTTCAAAAAACTGCGGGGTTACCTGTGAAGCTGGTGCATTCCTTGATTTGCTTAGAGATACCAATTGCTTGGCTCGTCAAAACTCTTAGAGTCCAATAACAGTAACGTCAAAAAACAAAATTGCACCAGGACCGGCCCCGATATTCTGTCGGCCATATCCAGCTTTGGGAGGGACTATCAAATATCGGCGTCCACCAAGCCGCATGCCCTCCACTCCAATGTCCCAACCTTCAATCACTTCTCCCCCGCCTAGTCGAAAAGAAAAGTTTTTGGAAGAATCCAAGACCTTGCCGTAGCGATTCTTGGCTCTCAAAGTGTAAGAGACTCGCACTTTGCTTCCACGCCGAACCGGCGGCCCTTGGCCAACTACCACGTCTTGACACTGCACCGCTTTTTTGAGAGTTCGAAATGTTGATTGCTTGCTGGCGGCTTCTTCTACTTCATCCTTGGATTTCTTGTCCTTTCGACGTTTCCCTGCTGCTGCGGCCGCTTCGATTATCAGTTTCTTTTCTTCCTCTCCTTGTCGCATCTTTCGCTCTTCCTTTGCTCGTTTGAGCTCTTTGCGGCGTTGTTTCTTCAGACGAAGCTGCTCAACTTTGTCGATTGTCGTCTTGCCCTCCTGGTCGTTCCCTTCTCTTGCGCTACCAACGTCTTCAGATGGGGTCTTGGCGCCATCTTTGGTTTCCGCCACCTTCTGACGCTTCAAGTAGCGACGCTCCAATGATTCATCTTCTTCGCTGCTGGTGCGTTTCTTTCTGTTGCGGCGGCCCATTGCACTCTCACGTTTGGAAACTTGGAAGCGGAGATAACGATGATTGGAGAAGATGAAAGCTGTCTCCTTCCTACTACTAGCTAGATAGGGCCAGCTAGCTAGCGTAGCTTGAGGCGCGGGAGGTCTTGGAATGAGGAAAATGGAAAATGGGTGGCTGGGAGTGGGTGGGACAACTGTGACTGAACCACACACAAACTTCAAGCACGGCTCAACCATACGGTACCGGTAGCCACGTCTGGAGTTGCTGGACACAAAGACACATGCACGAACACTCACAAAAACAGAAACAATCTCAAACTGACTCACAAAAACAAGCAGCAAGCAATCCATAACAGCACGCACTCATCAAGAGAAACCAAACGATGACAAAATGTGTACTCTACATCAATTCGTCAATATTGGGGGCGTGGAGGACTTCAGCTATCGGTACAAGATGCCAGTGTTGGAGGTCCAGCTAAGCAAGAAGAAGACACTGCTCCCCAACATTCTCCAGGTCGCCAAGGCGTTGCACTCTTCTTCGCATTCTGCTTTGGCCCTTCCTCGACCCCAGGAAATCGTGGAATACTTCAAAGTGGAACTGGGCACCGGAGGGTCTTGTCCGTCTTTGAAAAAGCTTGAAAAAGGCGATCCAGCCTCTGGAGCGTACCTTGCTGGAAAGCACGACAAGGGCACTTTGAGAGCCTTGTTGGCCGGCTACGTCGAGACGTTTGTCTTGTGCGGCGTATGTCAAAAGCCCGAGACAAGCTACAAATTCCACAAAACCAAAAAGACCATTAAGTTGGACTGTGTCGGTTGCGGAGCCCTGTTGAAGATTGAATCCGAGCACAAGTTGTGCAAGTACATTCGAAAACAGCACGAGGCAGAGAGCACCGACAAGAAGAGAGGAAAGAAGAACAGGAAAGAGAAGAAGAGCAGAAAATCGTTGGACTGCGAGCGTAGCCAGACTAGTCCGTCGAGCGTCCCTCGCACAGTCGAAGCGGAAAGTCCATCCGATGTTGCGATCATTTCGGAAGGTGGGATGGTGGCGTCTACCGATTGTGTTGGCTTTGGCACACCCGTACGTGACGACGGAGACTGTGAGAACAGCGAGGCAAGCGGGAAGGAAAGCGACACGGAAAGCGGCAAGGAAAGTGACACCGAAACCGCAATTGAAATCGAAGGAGACCTCGACGACGCCCAAGGCGATGAAGCATCGATGGGGGGGGGGGGTGCAGGGGGTCGTGAACATTGGTCGCCTTGCGTTGGAGTTGCCTATGTAATGTAATTGTTTGCAAACAATACCGACCACCCCTGAGTGATATTTTCTGGGACCCCAGAGGCATAACCCAAGAAATTAGACCCCCTTTAAGGAGGTTAAGTTCTAGATTAGATTGATGGTTTCATAGAACTCTAGCTGTAGCCCCTTCTGCTGTGTCAGCCTGGACACGGCCAACAAAAAACTAAAGGACGCTTGATGCAAGCAGCCGGCTCCAGAGCTCAGGGCTTTGGTTGAATGTGTTGTGGTCCTTGATGCCAAGGGTGAAAAGGCCACAGCGCTCATGTGTGGCTGAGTCGTGTGTCATTGGCAGGATCTTCGTTTGAAACAGCGGTTAGAGTTTTCGGGCGAATAAACGGATTTCACCCTCCCACAATTTCAGCAGTTTGGAACAAAAATCAGAATTGCAGCATCATCTCGATTGAAAGCATCAACCTAACTGTACCATGGCGTCGCCTCACTTGTTTGGTGGGCACGTCCCTGCTGGACTTCCTACTCGTCTCACGTTGACAGTTCCAGCTCCTCCTGGCGCTTTAGGGCTTCAATTTGTCCATGGAGTTGATGCTCAGCATCACCGTTATGTGATGGTCTCTCATGTGGAGCCCTTTTCCCCAGTGTATGGCAAAATTGTTGTTGGAGACAAGATTGTGGCAGTCAACGGTGTCAACGCGATAGACCAAGAGGTGGCCTTTGTACAGGGTATTCTGGCTGGATGCCAGAGCACGACGCGACAAATCTCTATTTACCGTGACCAACAGCCTGTTGGCGTGCCACCCGTCTCGACTCAACTACAAAGTGCTATGATTCCAGCAAGTCGTTCTGGGTTTCAACAACGCGTTGCGTTTCGGCCAGTGTTGACCCAAACCGACCAAAGCCGCAGTGTTTCATCGGTCCCAAGATCCAACAGAGTTGTCGATCGGTCTGCCGTGGCTGCCACTTCCAGTACACGAGTTGTCTTGAACCGCAACCGCAACAAGGAGAACGCGGCTCCCGCTACGGTGAATCAAAAATCAAAAAAACCTGGTCTCAAGAAGCCACCGCCTCCGTCGACGGCATCAATTTCAGTAGAGGCTCCTACCGTTTCCCGCAAAGCTTTCATTGTGGGCCTTCCTGAAGGCGAAATTGGGCTGACATTCGCGGCAGGGACGGTGGAGACTAGCCATTTCATCCAAGTGACACATGTCGATCCCAAATCTTCTCTCTCGGGAACAGTCATCAAGGGCGACTGGATCAGCCATATCAATGGCAAGAGTACTCAAAGCATCAAGGAGCAAGAGGCCATGCGTCTTTTCGAGAAGCAGACAGCGAAGCGGAGGATGGTCGTGCTTCGTGAACCTTCGTCCAATGCACCAAAACCTCCGAGAGCGGCGACGGCAAAGTCCAAACCATCGTCGAAACAAGCGCCAAAGCCAAAGGTAACTATAACTGCAACTGCCGCGAAGCAACGGTTGGGCGTGGATAGTGGAGCAGAGCCTACGAAGCGACAATTGGCAACAGAAGCTTTTCCGGAGCAGAAACGATTGAAGAAAGCCAAAACCAAGCCAGGGTTCAACGACGATGGAACTCGCGAGTTACCGGAGGCAGAGGATTGGCCCGAGCGTGGATGCGTCTGTGAGCATGGAATCTTCTACTGTACCAAGACCAGAGAAAGCTTGGGGCAGGTCGCGGAGAAGCTTGGTGCTTCCTGGAGAGACATGGCCGAAAACGTGTCCCACAAGTAAGTGCAGGCAACGAGAGGTACCTTCGATTCAGCCAGTGCTCGGAGCCACAAGAGCTCTCTGACCCCATCACCTCTCCCAACAGAACGTGGTACGGCAACCTAAAGTCGGCGTCAGTTTTCAAAGCGGACACACTTCTTTGCGTTCCAGACAAGCACAGCAAATGGAAAATCAAGCAGTTACGCAAGGAAGAGTTTCCAGATATGATGCCCGAAACATGCCTAGATTGTGGACTTGCCAGCAAACCCGAGGAGTTGTTGCTCTGTGATGGATGTGACGGGATGTATCACTTGAAATGTGTTTGTCTCGACGACATTCCCAGTGGGGATTGGTTCTGCTCTACGTGTGTGGAGATTTTGAAAGCGAGAAAGGAGCATGGCGACTTGACACTAAAAGAATTCACTTTGTCAAATGCGCCCTCATTGGATGCAGTATTGTCGCCAGAAGAACAGGACAGGATCCATGGCCTAAGAGCTACGCTCGATGACTATCTCCATTCGAGGCGTCGACAAGACTTGCAGCATATTGCCGACACCAGTGATATGGTCAAGTGGACCCTGCAGCAGCTAATTCCGGAGATCAAGGAAGAGATTGCTCGTCTCGAAGCGGAAATCAAACAAGCAAAAAGCGCCGCATTGGCGAAATATGGCCTTCAGGGTTCAAGCTGGGCCCTGTCATCTGGCCGCGATTCGGACTTCATTCAGTTTCGCGAGAATGGTCGTGTCATTCGTCTACAACGTGGCGACAATAGATTGAATGGATCAGCATCTACCTACACGCCTGAGGTGAGCCTTCATGAGAAGTTCTGCATGTACATTCTATTTTCTTCCGGTCGAAAACCTCACTCGTTTCTCTTCCCTCCCTTTTCCTTCCAACCGTGCCATAGTGGAACGCAGCGCGGCAACGCGTAATCCAATATTGGAACTTCGTCAAGTCGCGACCGTACAAACAGAAGAACGAATCCCTCAACAAGAACCTGAAAGATGCCAAAGAAAACCTGGAAAACACGAAGACTGAACATGAGCAAGTGGACGGCTTAAAGGAAAAACAGCAAAAGGAAGCCCGACTGATGTATTCCGCCCTCCTCAATGAGCCTCGACTCTCGGATGAAACAGACTCGGAATTCAGGTCGCGAGAATGGCCCCCTCGCCTCTTGGGTCAGGTTCAGATACATAACGACGAAGACGTCATTCTGTTGTCCTTGTTACGAGAGCCCGATGAGCTGATTCTCCTCGTCCCCTTGACCGCGACGAAGACGTCTGATCTTCAAGACTTTGAACCACAAGTTGGGAAAACGTTTGCGGTGTTTGCTTGTGAGAGTCTGTTTCTCAAGGAAAGGGATGACGATCTCCCCATGGACAAGAACAACGTACGAGATGCGCAACGGCGGTTGTTTCAACTGCTTGTCTCGGGGGGAGAGCGAGAAAACCAACACATTGTGGTGTCCTCTCCGAGTATCCCGCCCACTGTCCGCCCTCGTGACACAGATGCGTCTCATTCGAAATGCTTTGATCTCACAGAGCTTGTGCGAGACTGCAATTTGAGCTTGGATCTGCCACTGGAGCCCACGCCAGAAAGCATGGTAAACAATGGTCTAAAGCTGCACCCGTACCAAGAGCAGTCTCTTCGTTGGCTTCTGGACAAAGAGCAAGAGATCTCTAGCCTTGGGTTGGCAGGAGAATTCTGGCACCGCTTACGGTTTCTTGATCCGATCGCGCCACCACAGAGCGATCACATGTACTTCTATTGCGAACTAACTGGTTCGTTTGCCTTGGATATCTTCGATTTCAAAACCGATGTGGATCAAAGTGATGCCTCGGCAAATCGCTTTGGGTGTCCAACAGGTGGATGCCTTGGAAGCGAGATGGGTCTGGTGAGTTCGTCAAACTTAATGCGCCTGAGGATCATTGATTCCATCTGCCGTTCTGACCCTGCGTGCATTTGTTTGTTTTCCACATCGACAGGGGAAGACAGTTATCGCGATTGCTTTGATTCTGAAGAATAGACCCCCGCCTCATCGCACCGTGCTTCCGCGAGAGCATTTGTGGAGCCTTAAGAAAAATCGAGTCATCGATCATGATGACTATGTGCCCCTTCCTCGGTTTGGAGCCACTGAAGCGGCGGCCAAAACCAACAAAGTGTCGAATGGCACACTTGTGATTGTGCCACAAACTCTTTTGGCTCAATGGCAGACGGAAATCGAACGATTTGCCCCGCACTTGTCAATCATGGTCCTTCACTCGTGTGAAAACCCGACTTTGGCAGGCGTCGCGTCGGCAGACGTTGTCATTGCCTCCACATACATCTTCCAACAGCACCGCAATGCAAGAAAGACAGCCGGATTCCTTCTCAGCTGCATCAAGAAGGTGCATTGGCACAGAATTGTGGCAGACGAAGCCCACAACAACCAGGCAAGTCCAGAAAATTGCGTGTCACGCCCGTCACAACGCCCTTATCATGTCGCTCACATATCGCTTTTTCCTGCATCTCCCAGGAGGATCACTCCATCACTCGATTCGTAGGGATCTTATCAGCAACTCATCGTCTATCGCTAACGGGAACCCCGATTGGGTCCAAGGTAACTGACTTGCAAGGACAGTTGCGTCTGCTCCGGCTGGCCCCTTTCTGCCGTCCTAAATTCTTCAAGCAAGCAATCAGTGATCCATACCATGAAGAACGAAGCCTTGGAAGTCTTGCTGTCTTGCGGAGCTTATTGTCGCATATTGTTTGCCGACACAGCAAACAACAGACCCATGAAAACGGCAAAGCTCTCGTGGCCCTCCCACCCAGGACAATTTCTACCGTTCTGCTCCAATTTGGGTCCGAGGACGAGCAGCAACTATATGACATTCTGGAGACGAACAACAGGACCTTACTTCGTAAACTCAAGCACGAGTCCAAGGCGACTTTGCAACACAACTTTGCTGAGCTAAACGCACTACTCCTTGCTGCACGTCAGGCCTGTTGTCACGTCTCCCTTGTGAATCTTCCCAAGATCGACCATCACTTGAGACGATTGCAAGACCAGACTGGGAAGGGAGGCTTCGCTGTGGCGAGGACAAAATCGAACGCCAACGCCGAGGAAAGCCAAACTCGAGCGGGACTGTTGAAACTCGCGGCTGCCGGGGCGCGGCCAACTGCAAGACAGAGGATGATTGATGTGGTCAGCCAATTCCAAACCTCAGGGGCGCTCATCGAATGTTGCATTTGTTTGGATGCAACGGCTGAAACGAACATCGCAATTCCCCCGGTACGTGTCGGAAAGATTGTGTCCTGCCAATCACAACGCCATCATGATGGCAGAATCCAGCTCACGTGTTCCTCTTCCTGCATTGCCAAGTGTGCACATCCCATCTGCGATGAGTGTATTTTGAGGTAAATGATTTGTCGCCCACGTAACGCCTCCAAATCGTGCAGCTTACACACCACTTTTTCCTGCGACTCCAAGCATCATGTCCGCAGCTTCCGCAACACGTGAAGCCAGGTATGTGAAAGCTAATTGTGTGCCCAGTCATCATGACATGAGCATGCAGCTCACGTGTCGTTTCTCTTGCACCTACCAGCGGCCATTGTCCCACCTGTCGTGACACAATTCGACGGTCCGAAATCACATTCCTTGGTGATGCAGAGGACGCGGGAACCTTCACCACAAAGCCGCAACTTCAGACAGAGATGGACACCTCAAAGGACGAGGTCCTCGAGACCAACTTGCCCAGTTTTGCTCTGACAGCCTCTGTGACCCACGCATCCGTAACAGGCGCTTCCACCAATAGAGTTGATTGTGCAGTATTGACAGAAGCAGAGACTGTACGCAAGACGCAGGAACGGCAAGCCGAATTGTCTTGTTTGGAAGAGCTGCTGGTCTCAAGCTGCGTTCGAGCCGAGCCGAAAGTCGGGTCAAAGATTGCCTGCCTTCTTCGTGAAGTTGATGCAATGATGAAGAAAAGTGCTGAATCCAAGTGTGTTGTATTCAGTCAATTTATTCCTGTTCTGGATGTTGCTGAAATGGAGCTGGAGGCGCGGAAGATTGGAGTTTTGAGAATCGATGCAACTCGATCTACGGCAGAGAGAGCCGACGCCCTCCTCGAGTTCTCTAACAATGCCAACATCAAAGTGCTGCTTCTGTCCATGCGAGCTGGGGCCACAGGACTGACACTGACCTCGGCGGATCATTGCTTCATCTTGGACGTAACCCAGAGCCCATCCCTGGAGGAACAGGTAACTGCACATTCCTCCTAGTTTCGTTGATCAATCCAACTACAGAAACCTGACCATTTTCCACTGCTTCTTCTTCTGTACTCCAAGGCCATTGATCGCATTCATAGAATGTGAGTTTCTGCTGTTTGTGTTGTTTTGTCGAATTGATTCCAAACACACCGCTGAACGGCTTTTGTCTCTTTTGTTTTCCATCAGTGGCCAAACTCGTCCTGTCACTGTCAAGAGATTTGTCATGAAGGGAACAGTTGAGGAACGCCTCCTCTCGGTCCGTCGAGCTCTTCTTGCCGACAAACCCCTTGCTTCTACCGGCGTTTGCGCGACCATTTCCTTGGATGAGGACGAGGAAATCCAGGGCAAGAAGAAAGCGAAAGAGGGAGATGCGGCGAAAACAGCCACCACCAAGCGCATTGAGACATTGGAAAAGATTATTGGAACGCTAGAACTTCAGCGGGCCTGAAAAGGCAACCCAAATCCAACCAACATTAGCAAATTCGCGGAGTTTGGATCTGCTCATCAGGATCTGGACGGCATAATATAATGGACTTCCACTCTAAAAACGTAAACAGCTCTTTGCAGCAAAAGCTATCTTGTACCATAGCTAGTATCCAGGCTCCGTCTAGTTTATTTACTTGATGCATGCTACTCTGCGGCAAAAATGCGGACAGATGCAAAAATGAGGAAAACCTCTGGAACGCTTTGGAACCAAATAGGAATTCCAACCTGAATGTTCCTGGAAGCATGACTGGAGGATGACTTTGTGATCCAAAAGCCACCAACTTCTGGTTACCAGATCTCAGTCAATATCCAACCAATTGACCTAGTTGTTGAATGGTAGTTGTCAGCACTGATGTTGTTTTGAATGACATTGTCTTACTTTGTTGAGATAGTGTAGTTGTTAGTGTCATATTGGGTGTTTACTAGCAGTGCTCATTTTTGCACCAAATATGTCTAAATGCAAGGGCATAAATGTTACAATGTGTCTTAATGTCAAGGTCTAAATACCGACTGATCTTCACTCCAAGCGCGCGACCCAGCCAAGCAGGGTGAAGAGTCAAGCCAGACGAGTCAAGCCTACCAAAACCAAATATTCTATTTGAGTCTTACACCACTACTGTTAGGCTCAACTAGCAAGGCTCACAACAGCTCCATCTTGTCCACCAAGTCTTCCTCCTTGATTGAGCCTGAGTACTCACGCGGTTGGTTCATCTGGTCTTGATCAGCCTGAACAACCATCCAACGGGATACTCAGGAAATTTTCTCTTTGCGCCCCGCCTGTTCCCTCGCTCTTTTCCTCTCGCTCTTTCTCGCTCAACGTCCGCCATGGGCTCCTCCGCCTCCGCCATGGGCTCCTCCTCATTCCTGCACCGCATCCCTTTTTCTCACGGGTGTTGGAGGAAACATACCTGGCACCTCTTTACTACTGACTCGTGTATTAATCATCTAGTCCGGTTCGCATGTAAATTCACCATGCAAGGAACCAAGGGAGTTTTAGGTCTAAAGTGCTACGGGGGTCCTTATATCCAATTCAATCACAAGAATTGCTATGCACCACCAGAAAATCCTCACTTTTGCTTTTCAGCTTAATCTAAAACCAAATTACTCCCCAATAAGCTGCAGTATTACTAGCAAACAACACACAAGCACAAGCCCAGACAACCCTACAGTTGAAGAGACGGCACCAGCAGTGGATACCAATGATGGAAACCTCGCTGGACCAGCCAAGGCTTCCAAGCTTCCACGAATTGGAATTCGACGCTCAGCTCGGATTGCCACAGCCGAAGCAAAGAAAGGAGTCACCTTCGTCCAAGATGACGAAGCGAAGCAACCACTACTGTATGAGACAGAGACAAGCAAACATCTAGCTTTGTTCATGGACTCCTGTAATCACAGGAGTGCCACAGCAGAAGTCAAGGATGAGAGCAGCCATGCCCAACAACATCTTCTACCCAAGGGTCTGAAAGTGTGGGGCAACAAAGCCAGAAAGGCGGCGCTCAAAGAGATGGACCAGCTACACAGCAGAGTGTGTTTCAGTCCAGTCGACCCAAACAAATGCAGTGATTCTGAATTGAAAAAGGCACAAATGGCACTCATGTTTGTGAGTGAGAAAAGGGATGGCACGGTCAAGGCCCGTGCAGTCTACAATGGGAAACCTACAAGGGTGTACCATCAGAAAGAAGATGCCAGAAGTCCAACAGTTTCACTTGAGGGTTTGATGTTATCCATGTGTGTCGATGCATCTGAAGATAGGGATGTGATGTCCCTGGATGTTCCCAATGCGTTCATCCAAACCCCAATGCCAAAAGTCAAACAAGGTGAAGACAGGGTCCTCATGATCATTGAGGGAACCCTTCTTGCAGACTTACTTGTCGAAATTGATCCTGACACATATGCCTCTTTCCTGACATACAAAAAGGGACGTCCTGTCCTCTATGTTGTCGTGGAGAGAGCCATTTATGGCATGGTTTTGGCAGCACTTCTTTGGTACAAGCTATTCAGAAGTGACCTCGAGCAAATTGGATTTGTGTTCAACCAATACGATCCTTGTGTGGCCAACCGCATGATCGAAGGCTACCAACAAACAATCCGATTCCATGTTGACGATTTAATGTCAAGCCACAGAATGAAGTTGGTGAATGACCAGACTTTGGAATGGTTCAACGTTAGGTATGGAACCTATGGAGCCGTGAAGGCAACCCGTGGTCCCAAGCATGACTACTTGGGGATGACGGTGGACTTTTCCGACCCAGGAAAGGTTGTGATTGACATGATAGATTATGTCAAGAAAATGGTCTCAGAGTTTCCAGTGGACTTTGGGGCAATGAAAAAGGTACCAAGTGCAGCTCCTGCTGACCTATTCAGCTCTGGTGATGGCACCATCCTGAATGACAAGAACAGGGAAACCTATCATACCTTTGCAGCCAAGCTGTTGTTCCTGTGCAAACGTGCTCGACCAGATGTGCAAACTCTGACAACTGTGCTATGCACTCGTGTCAGAAGCCCAACATCTGATGATTGGGACAAGTTGACTCAAGGATTGAAGTTCCTCGAACAAACAGTGGAGGACAAGCTGGTTCTCCATGTTGATGATATCCGTGTCATCACTTGGTGGGTGGATGCATCATTTGCAGTCCATCCTGATTACCGTTCCCATACAGGAGGAGTCATGTCCTTTGGCAGTGGTGCGGTGCTGTCTGTATCCGCGAAACAGAAATTGAATTCGAGGAGCAGCACGGAAGCGGAATTGATTGGAGCTGACGATGTCATGTCGCCCATGTTGTGGGCAAAGTTGTTCCTTGAAGAGCAGGGGATCGTTGTGAAGGACAACATCCTCATGCAGGACAACAAAAGCACGATCATTCTTGCAGAGAATGGCAAAGGCAGTTCGGGCAAAAGAACTCGGGCTATCAACATTCGTTTCTTTTTTATTCATGACCAGATTGGAAAAGGCAACCTTAGAGTTGTGTACTGCCCAACCTTGGCGTGGAGATTTCTTCACGAAGCCCCTTCAGGGCAAGCTCTTCCACGAGCACAGGGCTTTCATCATGGGGCATCCACCCCTTGTTTGATTGCCTAATTTATTTTATTCGTTCCACGGTAGCCACTTAGGGCACCGTGCAGGAGTGTGTTGGAGGAAATATACCTGACACCTCTTTACTATTGACTCGTGTATTAATTATCTAGTCCGGTTCGCATGCATATTCATGATGCAAGGAACCAAGGGAGTTTTAGGTCTAAAGTGTTACGGGGGTCCTTATATCCAATTCAATCACAAGAATTGCTATGCACCACCAGAAAAACCTCACTTTTGCTTTTCAGCTTAATCTAAAACCAAATTACTCCCCAATAAGCTGCAGTATTACTAGCAAACAACATACGGTATGGTACCAGCGGTACGGCTTTAAAAGGACCGACGGAAGCAGCGAGACTCGACTGAGCTCCCACAGTGCTGCAGCTTCCCACGCTCCACAGCAAATACGCGGATACAGGGCGACCCGGAAAGTGACACGAATGGATGATGTAACCATTTACTGCAGAGTCATAATGTTTAAAAGATTTACGAACAAACGGCTACTTTCCCCATGAGTCATGGGTAAACAGCTTGTTTACTCATGAGTAAACTATTAAATCGTTGTTTCCCCATGACTCATGGGGAAACAAGCTGTTTACGCATGACTCATGGGGAAACAAGCTGTTTACGCATGAGGTCATAGTTTCCCCACGAGCCGTTAAATCTCACTAGAAAAAACACACTCTTTACCCACGAGAATCGTTGTTTACTCATGAGGAAACAGTAAAAACCTTGTTTACTCATGAGGAAACAATAAATGCTTGTTTGCTTGTTTCCTCATGAGTAAACAGTAAAAACCTTGTTTACTCATGACTAAACAAGTATTTAACTGTTTACTCACGAGTAAACTAAAGTCGAGCAGTTACACTGGTTAGTCCCATTTCCGGGTCGCCCAGCAAAAACACAACTACGGTACAAGCTAGCTAGAAGCTAGAAGCACAGCCACTATCACACACAAACAGCACCACCATCACAACCATAGCAACCACCAAAGCTGCACCATGAATACTGCCACTGCTCCTAGTACTGGTACAAATACTTCTTCTAATGATGCAGGTACTTCTAATGATACAGGTACTGCCGAGTCACCTCTTCTGTTGGCTGACGATTTGATTTGGAGTGGCCAGATTCTTTCGTTGGTGGGTTTTGGGCAGTACGCTTTCGTGGGGGCTGTTAACAAGAAGATGAATCAACTGTACAAAGAGTACTGCAAAGTTGAACTCAACAAAAATCAAAAAAAGGTGAAAGATAAACGTGGACCATTTTTTCCCAGTCGCTCTGCAGAAATCACCGACACTCTTTACAGCAACACATTCTGTAACCAACCATGCGCAGAACTCTGGCTGGGGGACAATTCCAGTGGCAACAAAACCCCTAAACATGAAGAAGTTTGCAATGCAATTGCCAAAATTGGAAATATCACTGTCATGAAATGGGCGCAGCAACAAGGATTCCGATGGAATCGTTTAACATGCGCTTTTGCTGCTCGATATGGCCATTTGGAGTTGCTCCAATGGTTAAGAGAGAATGGTTGTGAATGGAATGATAGCACATGTGCTGATGCTGCTGAAGGTGGACATTTGGGTGTTTTGAAGTGGGCTCATGAAAATGGTTGTCCATGGCGTGAAACAGCATGTTCCGGGGCTGCTAAAGGTGGAGAATTGGAAGTTTTGAAGTGGTTGCGTGCAAATGGTTGTCCATGGAATGAGTGGACATGTATGGCTGCTGCTAGAGGTGGCCACTTGGAAGTTTTAAAGTGGGCTCATGTAAATGGTTGTCCATGGAACAAATGCACATGCAACTATGCTGCTGAAAATGGACATCTGGAAGTTTTAGAGTGGGTTCGCGAAAATGGTTGTCCATGGGATACTGGTACATATGCCAGTGCTGCTCGAAATAACCAATTGGAAATTCTGAAGTGGTTGCATGCAAAAGGCTGTCCATGGGATGTGTGGACATGCACCTTTGCTGCTGAACATGGCAATTTGGAAATTCTAAAGTGGGCTCGTGCAAATGGTTGTCCATGGGATGCATGGGCATGTGCTGGTGCTTCTTCAAATGGACATTTGAAATGCTCCAATGGTTAAGAGAGAATGGTTGTCCATGGGATGAAAGGACATGTCTTGCTTCAAATGGTCATTGGAACTTTTTGGGCTCGTGAAAATGGTTTCCTTGCTGCTCAAAATGACCATTTGAAGTTTTAAAGTGGGCTCATGAAAATGGTTGTCCGTGGAATGGAAACACCTTGCCAGCCTGAATAGGCGAAGTGAAGTGATTCAATGGCTACGCAACAATGGCTGCCCTGATGAATGAATGACACTAACATTATCAACATCATTTTTGTTTTAAAAAGGCCATGAATTGAATAGTTCAATCAAATGTAGACAAATGCCCATGGCCAACAAGCTTGTTAAGGTAGATTATCTACGGAAGCCAGCCAGGGCCATCTTTGCTTCCTGATGGGTATATTGGTGGCTGCTTTATATATCTATAGCCAAAGTAGTGACAATGGCAAAGGATTCAATGCTAAAGGAAGCTGGTCAACAGCTTGAAGAAGAAGTGGAGCGGCAGATGGCTCTGGGGGGCACCTCAGAAGGGACGACAGAGGAAGAAGAAAAGCAGACCAAGGAGACACCGCCCCGTCTCTCCTGATGCCATGATGGCTCCTTTTATGTCAAACAAGCAGCCGCGCAGAATCCTTCCCTGCGAAAGTGTGGGCTCGCAATATCATTTCGTTGTCCAACAACCCCAAATCATGGTTATTCTACAACCAGAGGAGACAGTTCTGCAGGAGAGGCAATCTGCCTTGGTAGGTCATCTCTGCCTTGAATTCTTGCAATATCAAGGAAGAGCCGAAACGCTGATGTAGTTCTTCCCTGAACCGATTGCTGATCAACCGTATCAGGAGGAACAACGACAAGGAGAACAAGTTTCACAACTAACTATCACACAGCTCAAGTTTCACAACTAACTATAAACACACAGCTATGGCATCATTCTACGACCCCCTGCTTGATTCATTCGTGTATTTCTCGGACAAACGCTTGCAACGCCGGTTTCAGTTCCGTCTCCCAATACTCTCGATTTCGTGGCACTCGGACAATGCCATAATGCCGTCGTTTGGCTTGTGGTCGAGGAGGAATGTAGAGCATTAGATCGCACCATTCCTTGTCGCAAATGGCCAATTGTCCCTGTATTTGAGCATAGAATCGATTGGGACAATGCTCAAATTTGGGCAATTCTTTTTGGTGGCGTCGTCCCCACAGCGATTTGATCTCCAGTAGGCCTTCACTAGAAGTATCATTGGTAGTGACGAGTCCATCCGGACTGGCTCCCAAATAATACAACGTCTCATCGTTGGCAGTCGAAGTGGCAATGTGCAACCCCGTTTCGTGGACGGTATTCCCCGTGGCCTTGCGGTAGGCATCGAGTGCTTTGGGTTCCATGCGGAGTCCCCAGTCGCATGCCTGTTTGTTAAAGGGTGCCGGGGATGCCAAGCCTTGTTTAATGTGAAGGAGTTTTTCGCGACTGGTAAAGAAACTCTTGTCCAGCACGGCACTGAATTCGGACGCCGTGACATTGACTTGTTTTCGGACGGCCAACCAAACAGCTTGATCCCGACGTTGATGCAAAGAGGGCGGATGCACGGTAAATTGTGTGCCATTGTGCAACTGAATGTGGGCCATGAAATTATTGTCATCATTGTCGTTGTTGTTTGGCAGGAGCGTTACCGACTGGATTTCTTCCGAGGACAGGGTGGGTTCCTCGTCGTTGCTGCTTTTGGTAGATTTGGATGAAGATTTGTTGCCATCACTACTGCCAGCAGTGGCTGCTTTGGATTTACGCTTTTGTCGCCGTCGTTGTCTGCGACCACCGGTGGACACGCCCAACGTCTTTTTCCATTCCTCCAATTCTTCTGCGGCTGAAGCTGTTGTTGTGGAGGTAGTCGCCGAAAGCTCTGATAGAGATGCCCTGTGAGAAACCAACTGGTTGCTGGGCTGCCTCGGAGATGTCAACGCTTCAGTAGCATGGCCATGGAAGAGTACCAACAGCAAGAAGATGGGTAGCAAAAGTCCAGTATTCTTCAAACCCCGTGAAGCTCTATCATTCCAAGGGTAGCTCATCTATCGTTCGATTGATTGAAGCTGTTGTATTGGCTCCAAGCTCTGCTCCCTTTGCCGTCTTCCTACAGTACTATGCTAGCTAGAGATGTTGATGTCTTGCTGCCGGTACCTGTACGGCACCGTAGGTATCTTTGGATCTTTCAGTGATGTTTTTTTCCTTGATTGGCTGCCGAAGGACGCTGAGACTTGCTTCCAACACGCCAATCGTTCTGATTTCGTCATCTTCGTGATTCGATTCGATTCGTTCGACCAAAGGAAGGCAAATCGAAAACGGGTTCTCAACTATTCCTGCTTTACCATTCAGCCAGCGACGATGTGATAATCACTGAATGACAAAAAACGCTTTGGAAAGAACAGGAAGAAGCATGTCGAGCTATAGCTAATAGTAGCAGAGTAATAAGGTGACTCGGAAAGTTGAAGTCATGAAGGACGACGGCGACTGTAGTCGTAGCGGTGGAGAGGCGATCAGCAATCCTCCAAATAATGTGGATGACAACCAAGACCCCGACATTGCCGACAACACCGTCCGGACCAGTGGGACCGTGGGAGCCGATGAAGATGATGCCAGGGAGGCACTACCAGTAGCACAAGATGCAGTCAACTCTACGAATGGTTCCGCGGAATCGGGGTGTGAGCGACCGAGTGCATCTGCTGGGAATGGCGAAGCAGCATCTTCTTTCCTCGCTTCGTCGGAGTCATTCGATGGGAAAACTTGGACGATGTCCAATGATGATGCCAGAGCAACCGACCAGCAGCAGACGGAGGGCAGAGCTAGCAGACCCGACACTTCTGCACAGTCTACAGAAGGTTCCATGGACCAGAACGAGAAGGCATCATCGAGTACATCATTGACGGGCAATGGTACATGTTATGAGGGCAATTCTGCAGCTGCTGCATCAATGACGCCCCCAACCACGGCGATGGTACAAGATGATCAGAAGAAAGACAAAACTTCCAACTCGACAGATGCATCATCAAATGCCTCCTCAGATGTGGACATGGACCAGAAAATCAGGGCAGCAGGATCCACACAAGGGTCATTAGCTGTGGGAGCTGGCTTGGCGCTACCCGTGGCAGCCGCGTCACCGCCTGTAGGAGCAGCTCGTAAGAGAACGACGTCTCCCGTTCCACCCAATGCCATGGTCGCTGCCGATGAGAAAATCAGGGAAGCTTACAATGTGGCTAGCATGCTGGGGACGTTGCAAGAAGGAGATGGCCGTGCCAGCGCTCTTCCGGTGCCACCTCCCATGGCGGCGGCAGATGAGAAAATCACCGGAGCCTCTAGTTTTGCGAGGGTGCACTTGCCAGGTTCGGGTGCGAACTCGACCCCAATGGCCACCAATCATTTTTCCTCCATTGCAGGTAGTACCACTATTACTCCCGATGCGTCGTCCCAAGTGGGCGCCTGGGCCGTTTCCGAAGCTCCACCCTCGCAAGAACAACAAGCTCATGCTCAAAGTACTGAGGCTGGGATGGCAACCATGATAGATCATCATCAGGGTCAACAGGGGGATCTTCTTGCCAACGATATCAACCTCCGGAGAAGCTTTGTCAGTGAACCGGGTGCAATTTCGGTGGATGGAAGTGGGTTTTTCACGGACACTGACAACAGCTCTGGCGTCATTGAATTGGTAGCAATGACATCTTCCGCACCAATGGGACAAGGTCAGTCAGGCCAAAGTGTTCCAGGCGTGGCGCCAGTTGGCAGTCTGGTGCAAGCAAATCCAGTCACAGGAGACAATAATATTCCGCAGGCAGAGATGGTGGACCGGGCAGAATTGGAGGAAATTGAACAGAGAAGAAATGAATCCTTGAAGCAAAAAAAGAGACAACAACAGAGACTTCTGGGATTTGCCATTTTTGGATTTGCCTGTTTGATCCTAGTAGTCACTGTTTTGGTGCTGGCTCTTCGTGGCAGTGGTGACACAACAACTATGGCACAAGCGGTGGCTCCTTCCACAACAGCACCTAAATCAGAGTCCCCGTCCAGTGCTCCAACAAGCCTCTTGGATACATTATTGCAAGATCTTCCAGACTCGACACTACAGAAGTTGGATGACATTTCAACTCCGCAGTGGCAGGCCATGGATTGGCTCTCAAGACATCCTGATTTGCCAAATATGGAAGATTGGAGACAGATTCAACTCTTTGCCTTGGCAACCTTCTACTATGCATTTGAAGGTCCCAACTGGCGTGAAGTGATTCGAAACAGGTGGATGCTCTATGACACGTCAGAGTGCTTCTGGTTCTCCAGTGCCTATGGCAGATTCAGCGAAGAAGGTCCAAACTATCAGGATGAGGTTCAAAATGATATTGACCCTTGCAACCGCCAAGGGCGAATCCAGACTATTATCCTTGATGATTTAGAGCTCTCTGGGTTTCAGCCTTCAATTCCCCCTGAAATTGCCATGCTTCCAACCCTTTCATATCTTGTTTTGCGCCGAAATGGAATCAATGCCACCCTGAGAGATTGGTTGCCACCAGAGATCTACAATTTGCAGAATGTCACATACTTGGCATTCAACCAGAATGGGATGCTGACTGGACAGATTCCAAGTGAGCTTGCCATCTTGACAACCCTTCAAGAAATACAGGCAGACAGATGCTCTCTTTCGGGTAGCCTCCCTACGGAGTTTGGGCATTTGACAAATGTGAGGATACTTTATGTCAATCGAAACAATGACCTAGAAGGCACCATCCCAACTGAATTTGGTTTGATGACAAGTATGAATGAAATGAGCCTCAACCAGAACAAACTATCGGGATCTCTGCCCAGTGAGCTGCTACAACTGACAAAACTCAATGACCTCCAACTAGCAAAAAACAAGTTCACGGGAACCATCCCGGCTGGGCTGGGTTTGCTGACAAGGCTAACTGATCTGAGGGTACAGAAGAATCAATTGTCCGGTACAGTGCCCAGCGAACTTGGGCTTCTGACAAGGCTCACCAGGTTGAACTTTGGTCACAACAATCTGCAAGGAGAGATTCCACCAGAGATTGCACTTTGCACCAACTTGGAATTTCTGTACCTCACAGATTCATCACTGTCTGGCCCAATTCCATCAGAGTGTGGATTGATGATGAATGTAACAAGCTTTGTTGTGTTCAACAACAATCTTTCCTTCCTCCCAAGGGAACTTTGGCAGTTGACAAACATGGATGTTCTCCGCCTCAATGGCAATCAGTTCAATGGGCCTCTTCCATCAGATATTGGACGCATGAAAGCAATGGTGGGGTTTCAAGCATTTGACAACTTTTTCACAGGTGCTCTACCTAGTGAACTGGCTCTTCTGACTGGAATGACAGCTTTGGAGCTCCATGGCAATCTCTTTTCTGGATCCATGCCAAGTGAGTTGTCCATGTTGGCAGTACATGGTTCCTTAGAGCTTCTCACTCTTGGTCATAACAGATTCTCTGGAATAGTACCTGAGGGCTTGTGTACCTTGGGTCGGCACAATACTTCCACCAACAAGGCTTTTGGCCTTGACTTTGATTGTGGCAGTGCACTTTGTGGGTGTCACTGGTGCAATTGCAGTAGGTTTCCCTGACAGAACAACCAATTGCGCGAAATTCGCAGCAGCTGGCTTCATGCTTAGCACACAGAGTTGGCTGATGTGAACATATACCAACAAATTATTGAAATGTTGAGTAGAAGTTACCGGCAGACAAGCAGTCTTGAATTGGTGGATGCTGCTTGGCCAGAATTGGGAGTACCTGGTAACTATCAGCAGGTGATCAGCCAAGCCTGCATTTGCTGCTGCCTGCTGTCATCATCAAATGAGAATGGGACAAAGCCACACGGCCACACCCTTACGGTAATTGTCAGCAGCATTCAAGATAGCTCTACATTTCATGTAATCTAGACTGCCTCTAGCTAGATAGGACCTGACCCTTGTCCAAAGGGTGCTGCTCTCAAAGAGCCAACTTTCAAGGAGTTTGGTTCATTGCCCTCAACGGACTGAGGGTCTTTCACACTTTTATCCCTGTATGTGCAAGTTAGTCTGTACGTCCGGCATAAAGGATGGGGTAAATAATAATTGTTAGTTGGTAAAATATACTCCGAGTACCAAACTATGTGTGTGTGCAAGTTAGTATGTACGTCCGCCATAAAGGATGGGGTAAATAATAATTGTTAGCAGGTAAAACATACTCCGAGTACCAAACTATG